CACTTCGCCCCCTGCTTGCTCACCTAGGAGAACGCCACACCAACCTGGTGAACACGCCTGACTACCACGGTGAGAGAATGACCATGATCCTGGTGTTGACGTGTTGTTAGACATCCTGTCTTCACTTTAAGTCATCCATGCGCATTGATTGTGACTTTAAACTAGGCAGACATATCGGTATACTATTTAACGCTAATTCATCGTAAGAAATGGGATACAAAGATATTATTATGAAGATCAAACATGAACTTAAGGGTCTTTGCAGACTGCCATGGTGGTTTGGCTAATCAGTAAACTAACTTGCATGTTTCCTGTTTTTGACTGTCTCAGGTCTTCATCCTCTCCACCTGGCGGTGAGGAGGGAAGGTGAGCGCTGCCTCCGTCTGCTTGTGGAGGGTGGAGCCAAAATCAACGCTCCTGAACAGAAAAGTGGAAACACTGCCCTCCACCTGGCTGTCAGAGAAAACCAGTTCAAGGTGGCCTGCACTCTCATCACAGAGGTAAAACACACACACACACACACGCACACGCACAGAGGGAGAGAGAGAAACATTACCTGTGCACCCCTCCCATCAGTGACATCACAGTATAACCCTCTGTGTTTGTGTTGTTGACAGCTGAAGGCGGATGTTAACGCATGCACGTTTGGAGGAAACACGCCTCTTCACATGGCTGCCAGTCTAGGATCTCCGACCCTCTGCTCCATGCTCATCGCTGCAGGTCAGAAACACTGATTTATCTTCAGGCTTTTTGCCTTTATTTGATAGGACAAGCTGAAGATAGACATGTGGGGAGGGAGAGTGTTGGATGATGATTCACAAGATGCACAGGACCTGGAATTGAGCCTGCAACCAGTGTGATAAGAGCTGTAACATCTGTATATGGGGAAGACACATAATCGCAACAGAGAATAAATAAAGGCTTTTTTGCAGGCGCTGATAAGAGCGTAGAGAATGATGAGCCGCTCCACATCAGCTCCTCTTCAGACGAAGAGCATGACGAAGATGAACCAATTAGAGAGGAGGTCAAAGGAAGAGAAGCTGCCTCGCAGCCAATCAACCCTCGCAAGAGACCTTCAGGAGGACACACCCCTCTGGACCTCGCTAGATGCCAAAAGGTAAATTACTTATCTTTCAAAATAAAAGTAGAGGACATTGTAATACTATAATGATCGATTTGAACTGTACACAAAAATGTTTAACTGTAGGTATAGTTCAACCTGGAGGAGCTTTTCCTGTCCTTTCCTCACCTCCTTGTCTCCTCTCCTCAGGTGAGGAACCTCTTGAGCTCCAGACAGAGTCCAAAACCAAGTCGTCACAGCAGTAAGAAGATGAAACCGAGCAGCAGTGAAGGTTTGTTATTTACAGATGAAACCAAAAATGATCACCTGAAGAAGACTTTTTGTGGCATTTGAACAAGTGTGCGGGCTTATCTTCCACATTTACTGTCTCGACTCAGCTAATGACATTACAAACCCTGCATTAAAAGGTGCTAGCTTTGTGTCAAACTAATGAGGGGAACATAAGCTGAGAAATGATGTCAGAGGTAAAATAACAGACCTGTTGACATTGCAGAGGTCGAGGCTTCGGGGCTGGACGACGAGACTCTATCCCGGCTCGTGGATGTGTTGAGTATCGGAGACGTTTCGTGGATGAAACTGGCGGAGAAACTGGGGATGATGACGCTGACTCACCTGTACCTGGACAGTCAGGCACCGTGCCAACAACTGCTGCAGCACTACAAGGTAACACAACCACTAAGACTTACACGCTGCTTCAGACTGAGCGAAACAAAGTGGTGTGAAAAAGATGTTTAAAACACACACAAAAGGGAGAGTTTTTTTCTGAGTGACGATCCGCCGCCAGCACCGAGGGGCACACTGATTGAAATGTAGTGTTTCTTCTGATTGACAGCAGTGTGTCTCTGACGCCTCTGATGACTGTGTGTGTTTGTGTTTGTGTCCAGCTGGGTGGAGGTCCAGTCGACGGTCTGGTGGATGCTCTTCAGTCCCTCGGTCTGACAGAAGGAGTACGACTGCTGAGAAACAAAGAGCTACAAGATGACAAACACAGCACAGGTATGATTCAATAATACAATGAACAACTTGTTCAGAGAGAAACATTAAGAGTTTACATGTAGAGTGATTTGAACCTATTGGTTTGTATTATTTTGTCATTAAGAGTCAGTTAACTTGTTATTTACCTTAAGAATTAATTATTGAAGAGTTTTATTGTGCATTAGATTTAACAATGAATAATGTTTGGTAACTAAAGTATTTAAAGTAACTGTTTATATGATTATATCTTAATTCAATTTTACATTAATATAAAAAAGTTTAGATTTAATAATTTGCCATAAAAAAAGTTACAATAAGCACTCAATAATGACTAATAAGCAGCCAGTACACAACGAGTGATCATGCTTGTAAGAAACTAGTTAATGGAGAATATTGAGAGCTTCATTTAAATAATAATTGTATCCAAAATTGTCACTTTGAATGAAAACATTTTATATATAACATTTTGTTACTATAAAGTTAGTTACTAAAATTCTCTTTAGGGATTTTCATCTAAAATCCAAAGGGACAATATGTTCAGATTCACACAGACACAGACAGTTTACTGATGTGTTTCTATCCAATCAGAGGCCAAGGTTGACAGCGGCTTTGGCAGTCAGCCAATGGAAGATGAGGAGTCACCTGTGACCAATCAGTGAGGAGCTGGAAATACATGCATCTTGAGCAGCTTCAGGAAATTCATCTCACTCTGCAGGAACTTCCCAAAACTGCGCTTCAATGGAAAGACTAGGAGGAAGATCCCTGCTGGAGGTCTGAATCCTTTTTCAGTCCAATCAGACTCTGACATTTGTTTTCCTGCAGAGGAGACGAGTTACTGCCTTCAAGAAGGACACAAAGATTTTAAAGTCATAGCAGGAAGAACTAGTCTTGTATCAACATAAGAATAAAGATTAGTAGAACATTATATGACACCAAATAGTTTTAAAGACAATGTGTCAACTTTATCGTGGAGTGATTTGTTTCTTTTAATTTTCTTAAAATCATCCTTTTTATTTGTTTACAGTTTTAAACTTTGTTGCATTTTAAAAATGTAAAAGTCGTGTTTGTTACAGTTTCTTTCTTCTTGGGGTTTTGTGATGTCCTACGGGCGACTTGCAATCCTGGAGTTTCACCAAACACCTTAAAAGTCTTTACTTTCACTATCCAGGACAAACTTTTAACAATAGGCTGCAGAGATTTTTACAACATCATTTTTATTCTCATGAACATTTAATAAGACAGCGACAAGTAGAGGAGTGACTGTGGAGGAGCATTGCGTGCAAATCTGTGATGTGTGTTCACATGTTGTGACCTGAACAGCGGATTTGCTTCTTTCATCTTGTAGGAAACCTAGGTTTCCGATTTTTTTCTCTGATCTTGAACGCAGCAAGTCTCAGCTGTGTCAGTGTGAGCATTGACATCGTCAGAGCAGGTAAACAAAGGTTCAGATGTTACTGACATGTACGTTTGCATGTTTTTATCAATTATACTAAACGACTCGCTTAATTTTCCCTCCAATAAAAAAAATCTATATTTTTTGGAAGCCATCTGGTGTTAGGAAGAAAAAGTTTTCAAATGTAATGAATGACAGAAATAATTAAAACAAAGTTAAAGTTTAGGCATTTTAAGTCATACTATGAAGAATAGATTATTTGAAGTATTCTGACTTAAAAACTCCCAAAAATAAAGTGCAAATTAAGAAATGCTAAGACGTACACAAACATTGAAACAATTTGATGACTTTTATTTATGTCAAATGAAAATATATTCATTTAGAACTAGGACTTGTCAAAATTGACAAAAGACTAAATTATTATGATCGAGTAACTTTGTTTTTCTTCGCCTTAATATGATGCAGACGTCCTTTCTCCTGATATGTAAATTTGCTCTGTACTGTAGTAGAAAGAGAGAGCGGGCTGTTGAACATGTTGAGATTGTGCCAGGTGTTTCGTCATCATGGATTCATTCTTTCCGTTATTTCAGAGCAGACATGTTGTGCTTTGTGTGGAAAAGTTTCACTCTTAGATTGACAACGTTTGAGTGGAGTCTGGTGGAATCCAGCAGAGGCTGTCTGTGTGAATACTAATACTGTGTATTTGTGTGGTTTCTCTTTTTTTAACCGAACAGCCTGAAAATAAAAACGTTTAATCAGCATTTATTGAGACGCAAATGCTGCACTGTTGAGGTTTCTGTAACTTTGAATAAAAATGACTCTCAAACCTTTTTTTTTTTAAATGTATTTTTTTATTTTTGCCTCTAAGCCTTCTGAACATGTTAGTTTTTCACTAAGACCAAAACCTCACAGGATGTGGACAGTATGTACAGCTATCAATCGGCCAGCCGGCGGGAAACATTAAGACCGCAACAAAACTGGAAGGAAAAAAAATACTTTCACAGAAACTAGATTCAGCTTTCGTCGTTGATCAGGAAATAACAAACAGAATAAATAAATTGGAGGATTCAACCCCCGTGTGGAGGTTGATCATCTGCTTCACTCTAAAACATCTAAACAAAAGTGCCCTAATATGTAGCAACTAGCTAGGCTTTCAGCCCAACTACAATATGGCTTCTCAAAGTGAACTTGTACATATATTTACAAGGTTTGGACACAGACAAAGAGCTGAAAGCGGCCAAGGTCATCCTATGCTGCTTTACATTGCACAGTGCAACAAATACACCCAAAATACACAAGTGTTACTGGATATCTGAGGAGTAAATAGGACCCAGCGGGGGTCAAACAGCATAGCGGGGGCATAAATACAACCTCTGCTGTCTGGAAGCGTCTCAGCAGCAGCTCATTCCTCCTTAATAAAACCAGCATGTCGATGCTCGTCTGAGGGTGTCTAAAAAAGAAGAGGCTGAAGGACAGACCAGGCCAGACGTATCAAAGGTATTTGTTGAACAGGTGGACTTTTTGTGATCGGATCTTAAGAAATTGAGCCAATGAAACGAGACATTTGGATTTAAACAGGAGACACAAGAGACATTGAAAATCAGCAACAACAGAGACAATTCAAAACCAAAGTATTGGACTGGGATTCACACAAAGATCATTTCACACTGACAACCTCATGACTGACTATAGGGTCAAGTCCAGGGTTTGATTAGGTGAATGGATTTCTCTGAGATGGTAACTGACAATTTTAGGTCCTTTGAAAACAAAACAGTCAGATTACTTTGATGGAGTTTCTTCGACTCTACATCTTAAAGGACACAATACAGAGGATTAGCTGATTGTCGCTGTCAATGGCTCCCATATCTCTACAATGAGCTTCCAGTATGTTAAAAAGAAAACACTTTGGGTTAAAATCAACAACATCATACATGACTCCAACTGCCCAAACAGGGATGAGGACATTGAAGTTTGCACGTGTGACCAAGGAGAGTAGCTCAGACTTGTATCCCCCATCTCTACATGATGAAACAGATTCAATCCAAAACAAGACATCAATCACATGTAGGGGGAGTCTTATGGTCATTTCCATGATGGCTCTGACCTCCATGACGGTGTCTCTGTCTTAAGTCTGATGGAGTTGATTTGGATCATGTTGGACGGTGAGGATGTTCCTGAAATGTGTTAGGTGTTGATTTTAAAGCCAAACAACTCTGCAAATATTCTGTTTTTTGGGGGGTTAAAGCCAAAGCTCACAACAGACTGAGATCAGGTCATGTTGTAAGACAGAGTGTAGAGAAATTGAGGGGGTTATGTGATGGATTTCTACTGGCAAAACGTAAACAACCCTGCTTAGTTTCAGTTCTCTTCGTACCTTTGAAATTAGTAGTTTGAAGTTTCTTACATCCTCATGGAGTTAACATTTTAAAGTCAAAAGAAATCCAAAAAGACAAACTTCTGCTTTTCCTCTGAGAGTTTAGTGTTCCCTGTTCTGCAGGAATCTACCAAACAAAAACAATTCCTGGAGATAATCAGTCCGGCTTCAGTGAGCTTCCACCACTCCATGAGGAGCTCTCTTTTGTTGTTCCCAAACTGGAAACGATCATAAATTCACTTCTTATGAGTGCAAAAATTCAATTAAAAAAAATCTTCATCCCTTCAGAGACCAAGTGTTCAAGATTTCCTTTAGTGGTTTCAGGAAATCTGAAAACAGATTATTGGTTGGGGTTTAATTTCAGACTCTGAGTTTCTGATATCAAACCGAAAGATCTGAGCAGTTCATTTCAAATAATGCAAAATTATTATCAAAGACATATTGATGTTAAAGCACTGCCAGGTGTTCATTTTTGGAAGTATTAAAATTCTACAACATTTGGGTGTGAATAAACATAAAAAAAATTCAGGGTACTAAAGAAACAACACCCGTCTTCTCTCTGCTGCCCCCTGGTCACCATTTCCTGTCATTACATGATTCTCCAGGAAATATGAGCATCTCCTGCGTAACATTATGATTCATGCTGCAGTTACATAACTAAAGGAAAATCCAAGAAGACTTTTTTTATACACCTACTCGACTGCATTTCAGGGAAACCTTATTTACCAACATGATTAAGATCATTAATATCAATTCAGTTTGAAATATTTCAATCAGAATAGTTTACATTACTTTGAAATGGGACATTCTGAATATGTGTGTACTGAATGCAGGGCATGTATTATTATTTTTAAAATATGGATTTCTATATTGTGGTTAAACTTTTTGAAAACCTAAACAAGAAGAGAGTTTTTTGTGTCACCAAAAGGCGTAGGTGAAAATGCAACCTAGTACTCTGGTGACACCTGGTGGCAGCTAGAGGTAACGTCATGTTGAGAACTTCACCCAAGTTCAAACAGCAATAACAGGACACTTTTACAGGATCCCACTTTACCCAGTTGTTAATTTTTTGAACCACATGGGTGACAAGCATTGTCTGATGATGAGCTGCCAATCAACAAACAAACGAGATAATTTCAGCAAGATACATAAACTTTAAATAACATGAAATCTTTTGATACATGTCCTCCTTGTAAGGTCAATCACGAGGAATATGAAAATAAAGTGGACGGATTCAAACATTATTTAGTTTCCAGCATGACTTTCAGCACAAACAAAAAACCTCTGGAAGTTCATGAATGACAAAACTACTGAGTGAGCAGAAAAGGTCTGATGGGGATTTTATGGCTTTGGGTTGAAAAAAAAAAAAAAACAAGAACATATGCGAGAGCTCTGTTACAAAGCAAGAGTCATGACAGATGTTAGTAGGATCCTGAATAGGGTTTCCTACTTCAGGAACTGAACCTGGATTCTGCTCTAAACAAGAAAGCAGAGGAAAAGATGGATCGTTAAGAACCATCATCAAAAAGTTAGTGGGAGTGTATTAGAGTCAAGTACTCTGCCAAGATATAGATTTCAGTTTGAATTAGCATCCTTCGCTCACTCAGTAGTTCACAGTCACTAACAATCCTCTGTACAGCCTGTTTGTTCCAGCACAACTCAGAGAGGGAAGAAAAAAACATGAATAAGACAGCTGCAGACACACTATGATCAACCTCCATCCAGCATGTTCACTATTTACACACCGCGAAGTACACATCAAGTGCTAATGCAGTTCTTCCTTTCTGTGTACAATACTCTCCTCTTAGTAGCACATACACCCCCCCCACACACACACACATACATACATACAATATACAAGCACACACACACACATACAATATACAAACACACACACACACATACACACATATATATATAAACACAGGTACAAGCACTCTGTCAGTGAAGTGTGTAGGAGGTTTTGTTCCTGTTGCCTATGTGACGCATCATTACAGCCTCTGTCTGTTATTCTGTTTGTTCATTTAGCCGGGGGAGTCCTGACTTCAGAGACTACCCCTTGCCCCCCTCCCTTATTTTGATCACCACAGCAACAGTCCCTCATACTCTGTCCGTTATATGTGGTCGGCATGGCAACCTGCTCCCCCGTTAGTCGCTATGAGGAGCAGAGCGATGGCTGTGCAGGAGGTCAGTGTTTGTCGCTCTGATAGAAAAAAAAAATAAAAGTACCTACAAACTCGATTCTGTCTCAGCTAAACGATGGCTGCATGAAGCTGAAGGATAACACAGGACTCAGCTCAAAAACAAATGCTTCCAGAGAGTCCCTGAAATAAAAGAAGTGATGGGAAATAATACTTTCTCTCTGAAACACGCAGTCTGTTTTCAAAGTTTGACCTGCTGCGTTTCATGGTTGGATGAAAAATAAACTTTAACAGCTGATTGATAGTTTTCAGATAAAACTTAATCTTATTAGTGCTTTCTGAAATAAATGCAACACTGATCTGTTCAATGGTCCTCCTTCAAGAAGAGTGTTTTTTTTCTCCCATTGACCTCGAATGTCTCAGCTTGGCTCCGGAGGAAAATACCCTCAACCAACCATTACTGAGTGAGGTTTAACTGAAAAGGTTTAAAGGAGGATGTCGGCCTGCTAACCGTGACGCTTCATGCTCGTCTCCAGCATCAAACTTTTTAAAAATGATTCGACTTGCTGCCTTACGGAGCTGCTTCCTGTTTGCTGCTCTGTTTCTGCACCTCAAACTGCTGGTTGTTTTCACCGCCGTTCTTCTTGCTTGCCTCTTTAGTGCTGCCGCTGCTCTTGGAGGACGTGGATGTGACTTTTAAGCTTTTTGACGTCTTGGTACCGCGAGTCTTCTCCTTGTTGGCGACATCCTGAGGAAGCGTGGGGCTGGAGTGCGCCCTCTGCAGGCCACCATCATCAAACAGCCGTGACTCGAAGGCTGACAGGTCCTCGTCGCCACTCGACAACTTGGCCCGAAGCAACATGGCATATGTACCATACCGAGTTTTCTGTAACAGTTGACAGAGACAGAGATAATGATGCAAACATCGGGATTGAATTTACTTTCAATGGAGGAGCAACCTCCAGTGTAAAAAAAAAAGAAACCAATAGGGCGCTGGATAGCCTAGTGGTTATGTCGCGTGACCCCCCCACTCTCTCCTCCCAACATTTCCTGTCCCTCTTCAGCTGTACTATCTAATGAAGGCAAAAATGGCGAAAAAAATTAATTAATGCGTTCATTTTTTTAAATTGCAATTGACCACATGCTATTTTCCCCGATTTGCACACAGTGAAAAGTCTCTGCAGTGTCTCCCTGTAGTCAAAGTGATGGAAATAGAACAACACTGCTGCATCTATGAATCTCTCATTTCCCCTTAAAAAAAACTCTCATACAGCTCAGCTGACGAGTCAAAATTAATATCCACCTTTTAACATTGAACATGTTGATTTTTTCACTGATACTCTGAGTTATTTTCATTTAGTTTTTGATCCATAACAAGTTCCTTTTCTCGTGATTCAGTCAATGTTGTAACTTTCAATCTAGCAGAAGGTCCTTACTGTATTTACTTACTGACAAAAAAATCTAAATGTGAAATTCTTTGATGTCAGATTTTGTGATGGGAAGAAATTGCAGATATGTTATTGTACCTCGCTATCAGAGATGTAAAAGCATCCTTGCCGATGGTTTTGACATGTCTTAATTTTTAGTTCCATTATTAAAAGCTAAATGAAGGAAACCTAACTGATTAACTCCTTTCTGGGTCTGTGATTTGAACTCTTGCTAAGTTTCTTAGTCTTGAACGATTGATTAGATTTAGTTAGTTTTAGGTTAGTCTTCATAGAAATCCTCACTCAACCACACAACCAGAGATGAGACAAAGAACATGTAATAATTGATGAAAACTACACAAGCTTACTTTATTCTGCATTTTTCAGGACATCTTTTTCTAAATTCTCCATCAGATTCAGAGGACCTCATTGTTCGAACAATTTACCCAATCATATTAGAAACAGCACCAGCCTCAACTTGTATAAAAAACAAACCATTTATTTCCTGCTTGGCCAATTAACCAATGCGCCATCATAATCATTCTCTGCCATAAGAGCTTATTTTCCTTTTTCCCCTCTTCTTTAATTTGACTCTTTATTGTTTTGCTTTCTTTTACACCTTATTGAGTATACTTTCTTGTTAGCTTTATTGTTTTTGCTTGGACTACATTAATAGTATGTCTCTGTGTTACATGTTTCTCTTTAGGAGGGCCACTCGACAAGCCCCTCTGGGTTTATTTGGCTCCTCCAGCACATTTCTTTCAAAATGTATATTTTGTTAATTAACTAATCATTATGTCTGTTTTTCCATTGATCTATTATGTTTTTTTTTTTTGCTTTTTTGGTGCAATAAAATAAATGAATGAAAAAAATGAAAACTATGAAAATGGTCAGCAGGAACAGAAAGTATACGGCTGATATTTGTTCCTGACACTGTGTGTTTGTAACTCTGCCTCCGGTTTGACACCCAGCAGACTGATTCAGTGACAGATTGTGATGAAGAAATAAGCCAGAAGGAGCTGCACAGAAACTTCCGTCTGTCAGTCAGCAGATTCAGACTTCAGGGGGATTCGACTGCATGTTTAACATCAGACGGAAATTAAAATGTGTGACTTCTAAAGGTTTTAGCACTCAGGTGAACTACTGAGGAATATGAAAATGAATTAATGGTGGAAGAAAATTCCAGATCCCACACTCCAGTAAAAATATTTTAGAGTCATATTGTCCTCCTTTTCAACAAGTTTAAATAAGTCTCAGCGCTGCCCTAAACAGGTCTGTGAAATTTATCATTAAAAATCCACTCTGATCATGCCTATAAACCCCTCTATTTCAGCCCTGCTCAGAACAGGCTGTTTCTGTATCTGTAGCTTTAAATGCAAATGAGCTGTGTCTGACCACGCCCCCTCTCTGGAAGGACTTGGGTGACTCGGGCTTTCTTGCCCTTTTGTTTACGATCAGAAGGCAGACTCAGAGGGCAGAACAAACACCTAGCTGTGGGAGTGTCACCCACCTGGGGGAGGGGTTACTGCCCTTTGTGATGTCATGAAGGGAAAATCTCCAAACTGCCTGTTTGAGCACACATTTTCTGAAAATTGGAGCAGGCAAAAGCCAGAGAGGATGGATTTTTCTCATGATTTGTAGATAGACTAGGGACACATATTAGTGTTAGAAAAACATGGTAAAGTGTATTTTGCATAATATGTAGGGCTGGCAATCTTTGGGTGTCTCACAATTCAATTCAGAATCTATTTTCAATTCAAAACAATTATGGATTCATGATTCAAAGTCTATTTTTTAATAAGTACTTCAGGATCTACTAAAGTCATCTGTGAGACTGGCTGAATTCCTTGCTGCTCCATTTGGCATTCTACTGAGTTGAAGAGCTAGCCTTAGCACTGAGCAGGGAGGGACTGACTCATTTCAGTTTTTGGAAGTTATTAGTCTGTTTAAAATCTAAGAAGATAAGAATCTCCATTTTTACATAAAACAAAGTTTTTGCCCACCTCTAATAATATGTGACCTTTAAAGTAGCCTTTGAAAATATTCCATTACAAGTAAAAGCCCTGCATTAAAAATCTTAACTCATATATACTGTATATATACTGTAGATATGTTTAAGGTTAAGCTCATTTTAACGACTTTATATACAGTTACCTTTTTAAGATCATCAAATGTGTGTAGCATCCCTGTCCTTTAGAAACATTTCTCTATTTCTAACAAATCTCAGCTTTCAATAAAGAATTACAAAAATTTAAATAAGCACCTCTGGAGATTTTTGGTTTTATCCTCAACGGGAAGGATCTGAAAAGCTGTAATCTGTATAATAAACCAAGCTGTCAGACAAATATAGCTGAGCACCTTTTGGCAAAAAATGTTCCTGAAGCATTAAGGTGGATAAAGCCAGTGAATTAGAAAATATTTAACCGTGGCATACATTGGGAACACACAAACTGAGAACTTTAAAAAACTCACAAGTGTTCAAATATACGCTTGGATTCTATCATACCTTGAAGTCTGCTAAAGTGTAGAAACATTATACAGAATGAGGCCTCATTCAGACTGGATTGATGCCTCAGGGGAGGTGTTTTGGTTTAACGTGCCTGGTCGTAGTGATTTTAACACACATATGGCTCATTTTCACCCCTACACCACCAATAATCACAGCCACAATGAACTCCTGTTTTTCCTTCTGCTGCATTTTAACAGCTCAGTGAGAAAATTGACTTTCGTGTGAAAATGGGGGAAGTGAAAAGCGTTTTTTTTTAAACCGACAGACGGAAACATGCTAACACTTTCACACAGGCCAGTTTTCAAATCAACATGGCAACAGAAACAATTAAAGCTCATCAGGAAAGCAGGACCCTGTAAGAGCCTATCAGACGAGCTGTTTTTATATCAGCTACAGGAAGCCACTGCTCTTGTCTATATTTATCTACATGTAGTGGCTGTTAGCTGCTCTTTTGTCGGTCGGTTAATGCTTGATACAGACCAGATCCATTAGATTGTCTATGTCTAAAAAGTCTGCTTGAGTTAGATAACAGCACAACAAAGATTTAATCCCAGACTCCCCCAGTTCTGTTCATCCAGTCTGAATTGGTCTTAAGAGGCATTTTTTCCCTTTGTGTGTGTGTACTGTAGAGAATCCCCTCACCTCAAACTCCAGGTATTCTTGTCGGAGTTTGTGCTCCTCCAGCTCGCGACCTTTCACCTTACGGTCGGGTGTGGAAGCTGTAAGATCAGCCAGCTCGGAAGAAACTGCCCTGAATCGGTTCTCGTGAGATTTGACCTGCTCCTCCTGATGGGAGAGAAGATAAAACTGATCTCTGTTCTGATGTGAGGGAAACATATTAGTAATACATGATTACTGTTGAGGACTAACTCAGAAATAACTTTTTATCTTTTTTGAATCCAGAATCAGAATTTGAACCTGGGTTAGTTTAGTGTTGGATCCTGGCAGCAGAGGACGACTGAATCTCTTCTGGGAGCCAATAGCAGCTGGGAATGGTGGAGCAGAAAACATTGCAGCGACTACATTGATGCGTGTGATCCACGACTGCATCTGTTCCGGATTCCTACAGGAAAGGTGAGAACAATAATACTTAAACCTTACTGTACACCTTATAATATTCACAGTATATAATATGGCAAATCTTTTTCACAGATATTATTCTTTTTATATTTCTTTCTACAATGCCACTTGATTAGTTATTTACTTTGAAATGTCAAATATGAAAGAATTTCCAAGGGCTTTCATTACACATGTAAAATGTACCTATCTGTATGTATATGAATAAAGGAGTACGTTAGTGTTTCAGTGAAATATATCAATTAAACATTCTGATCAAGGCCTGTATTACTTTCAATCAATACATGAGACGTAATAATGGATGCCCAACATATTAATTCATTGTTCAAGGCGATCATAATGTTTCCAACTCTGAACATAAATATGATAGATGAAATTTCTGACAGGGCTAATCATGTTCCGCCACGACTTTCATGTGAATAAATAAAGTATCTGGTGATATTACTAAAAGCAAAGAAAGACGGACGTAGAGATAGAGGAGAGTTAATGTGATCCTTACGGAGCCTGAAACAGGAAGACTCTCCAGTCTGCTGTCCTCAGGTAGAAGACGTTGGGTCTCTTGCTGTAATCAGCTGCTCTCATGGCCAGAGAGTGATGGATGGACACAGCGTTTTTCACGTCCTCCTCCGTCAGCTCTCGCTCCGCGCGGTACTCATCCTGTCGGCCAAGTCAGAGAAGTTACTTTCTGAATATTTAGAAGACATGAAGTCATCTGAACCTTTTAAATCTTTATAAAAACAACATCATTTTAGAATGGGGAAAAATAAATCACATTAGTATAGAAGTATCTGGTGCCATAATATACGAGCATATGCATGAAACAGAGGGACTTCTGGGAAATGTAATCCATGTTTACCTTTTGAAGGTAAAGCACCATCCCCTTCAACATGGCGTAGAAAGACTTCCATCCCCTCTTTCCCCGTGGAGCTGGATGAAACAAAGCATCATGGGATATTTTACATCACACGTTCAAGCAAACTGATCAAAACTGTACTCCTCTAAATGTTTTCTATTGTAAAGATTCATTCCTCATCATGGCTTTCACGACATCATAAAATAAGCACTTAATCCTGACAATTGTGTGGAATAACATAACATCATTCATCTTGATATTCGATCTGTGTCTGAGGCCTCAGAAATGAAGATTAAATATTTCATATATAAACGTAAATGTTGTTGTCTGCATAATGATAACAGTGTCTAGAATTGTTTTTTATGATATAAAATTGTTTTAGTGTGTTCCTGAAGCGTTTCAATGTTAAAAACAATATTAATAATAATAGTTGTCTCTTAATGTTGTATTCACTTTCTATATTCATCGTAAATAACACACATTCCTGCACAGCTCCTTCATTGCACCTTTCCTACATTTTGTGTTTTTATATTTTCATATTATATTATAAAGAAGATATATGTTTTTAATAGCTTATTATATTTTTATCTTATTTTATTTACGTAGTCAGCAGGAGCACTGCTGTTATAAAGCTCCTTACTATCTTTGCTTTAGTAATTGTTTTGCACCAAAAGTCAAATTTCCTTGTTTGTGTAAATGTGCTTGTCAATAAAAAACGACTCTGATTCTGATTCTAATCTGAAGGGTAACAAAGCGTACATTTTTCTGTCAGTGATTCGCTTAAAGGCAAACATCAGCGACATATAAAACACTTACATGCATGCTTATTAACAGATTCAAAAGAAGAAGAGAGACATACTTCTCTTTCCATCAGGATCAGCATGGACTTTTCGAATTAGAAAGCCGTTCTTGTAGAGCTCGCCATCCGCCTGCTGAGCCACGCCCACCAGCGGGTTTCCTCCAGTCCCCAGTCGTTTCATGGTATGGGAGGCGGAGTCTGTTCGAACGTCGGTCAGCTCAGACATAGACTTCCTCAGCTCCTCCTCGTCACTTCAGAAGAAGATTAAAAGTTGTACAATGTTCTAACTGGTTCATTTCTATACTTACACTTCCACATCTCTTTAGTGTAAATAATCACGGATGTAAAAACTAGATTTTAAAAGTTGGGGAAGCTGGAGGTGGAGCACATCTTGACATTAGGAGTGCAACTAATGATTACTGTCATTTCATTTTTGGCACAAGTTAATTGATTGTTTGGTGTTTCAATCGTAAATATTGAAGAAAATGCCACCAGAATGACCCAAAGACAAAGAAGCATCTTCAAAATGCTTTTTTTAATCCAACCAACAATCAAAACATTTAAATGATTATGATAACATTCAGATTTTCAAATATTTCAAAGAAAAGGATTCAAACGTTACAATTAGAGAAGCTGCACACATGAAATGTTTTTAAATAAAAAATAATTCAACCACTATCATTATTCTTAACAAAACAATTATTTAGAAATGTGCCTTCATATCAAACTTCCTGCCGCCCTCCTCTGCAGGACTAACCATCGGTCCTGGGGGGGACAGGGTCTTCTCCATTGCCGCTCCCACCCACTAGAACTCCCTCCCAAAAAAACATCAGAGACTCCCCCACACTCACTTCCTTCAAGAAATCCCCAAAAACTCACCTCTTCAACATGTCATACAACCACGAACAAACTCTGTTCTCATCCTCCTTCTCTTAGACTATTTCTTTGTTGTATTGTTTTTGACTGTTTTGTTTTGTTGTGATTCTTTGTTAAGTGTCTTAGAGTACTCAGAAAAGCACTATAATAGTCAAATGAATTATTATTATTATTATACACTTGCATATTTTGTGCTTCTGTAATTACCTCATCTACTACATCAATATCTCATTTTATCATGTCTAAGTTTTAATGCCATCTCAGCCAGTCTCATCACACCAATTAGTCCTCAAAACATCTCCGTTATATTCCACCTTCTCATTGTGACGTTATCAGAACACTAATACAGAATAGCCTCTGAGATTAACGATTATCTGAGAGAAGAAAAAAAAGAAAAGCCTCCATAAAGGAAAACAGACGCTAGATGCATATATGCCTGTACGGGTGTTCGTGTGTCCACGGTTAAGCATGGGCGTAGGGATGCTGACCTGTAATTACAGCGAGGAAGGAAAGCAGGGAGCAGTCACCATGGCAACAGAGGCTTAAATAAGAGAGTCAGGGCAGCAGGGACACACTCACACACAGAGCGAGCTTAAACACACACTTCAGATGTTTGTACATGAGGCGTGTTAAACCAGCAGCAACCAGTTATCATCCATCCAGGAGAATTAAACTTACATAGTCCACTGGAGCTTCTCGTTCTTGATCGAGCTGTACAGCGTCTGCAGACACAACACACACACACACAGATAAGATACATGTGAGTTAGTTATACATGTTTTATGTGTGTGTAGGTGTATGTATGTTGGTCTTTTGAATTTTGGGATTCTTGGCTTGTTTCTTTGATTTTCCAGTTCTCCCCATTTACCTTTAGTCAAATAAAATACAAAGATCAGAGCGTCAGAGCAATCATCACTACATTTCATTGATTCTTAGAGGAAGTTTTTCAGAAGGGGGAGGCTGATGTGAGGGTAGTTTTCTTCTTCAAAGAGCTAAGCAGAATAAATGTTTGTTCTCCTGGATTTTTGTTTTCATTGTTTTAAGTTTTGTACAGAAATAAAAGAATCAAAGGCTCCCCATTAACAAATGACAATCTTATTATAGTTCAATTTCTCAAATAATTCCCTTATTCAAGAGTTGCTGACTTAAGTCCTATACTATCACATTATTTTGAAATATCAGGGGAGAGGGTTTTTTTTTCAGTTAGCTGAGTTGGATGTTAACTCTGGGAAAGGGTCTCTCTTTTAAAAAAACATAAGCAGACATTATGATAAAACTATTATGAAATGAAGTTACTTGGCTGATTTTTTTTTTTAAACCTTAATTTACCCAGGTTGGTCCCATTGAGATTAAAAAAATATTTCCAAGGGAGACCTTGCCAAGACAGGCAGCAGCAAAAACACAAAGTTACAGACACAATGGGAGACAAAGTACAATTTACAAAAACACAAAATTGTAGGTTTATACATTTCTGAATGTAAAACAAAAATGTATGACACATTAGAGTAGGCTATAGGTACCAGTAATTCAAAACGCCCCTTCCCTCCCACCTCTGTAAACACAACCAACCTTTCTAAAGCTGTGTTTCCACTGCAGGGATTTTTTTCAAGGACTTCTAACTCTGCATTTCTATTGCTGGTCCGAGGAGCAGAAAAAAAGTCCAGTGGCCTTTTTTTCTGCTCCTACCGTACGGAACTACTTGTACAAAACGTATTGGGTCTCAGTGTGTGCCTTGCAGTTCTGATTTAGGTTATTTACTGCATCATATGATACAATCCGTTACAAATGGTGTCGTACTTATCTTCTTGTTGGAAACACAGATGACTGTAGTCTGGAGGAACCATGAAGTCGTTTAAAAAGGCCACTGGGAACCAAAAGTCCCCGCTATTTCAGACGGAAACACTAGAGACTCACTTTTATGTGATGGGCAATTCTTTAGTAAACCCTTTTGGTTTTCCGAATGGTAAATATTCTGTGCACCATCTAACTGTTAATGTAATTTTTTTGTCCTAATTCTGTCTGATTGTTTGAGAAACCTTTTCCTCTAAAACTTCCACTTCTGTCTGTGCTTACTTAATTTGTTCTGTGTAGTTTCATCCAGCTCATGTGATCTGCAAGTGCTATGTCTATAAAATGAAATACATATTTAGTGTCAGATCTTCTCTTAAAGCTGAAGTGAGCATTTCCAGGTATACCTTCTTCTTGCGGCTCTGTGGGTGCTGCAGTCTGTCCTGGGTTTTTCCCAGCAGGTCTGGGAAGGCCAGCGGTTTGAGGGAGCGAGAGCGGGGGGCTCTGGGATACCTGAACGGGTCGGTCTCTCTTGAGTCCCGCCCAATCTTTACCGAGCAGAGCGAACGTGACCGCATGCGGCCTGTCGAGTGGATGCTGTTCACGCCAATCATTGTGCTGAGTTAAGTGTTCAAAAGGACAAAGGTTGGTTTTTTCACAAGAGTCTGACAGAACTTCAGATTCTTTTCAGAATAAAAGAAGAATCGAGAAGTAGAAAAGACTTCAGATGAAGAGAGACTGTCTCTTTATGTAATGAGAAGACGGCCTTAGCTGTAGTCCAAAACTATATCTTCCTTTTTGAGATAAATAATGAAAAGCAAACTTTGCTTTTTGAAACGGTACGACCTCCAGATGACCTCCAAATATTTAAAATATATTCATGAAAGTCTAAAGCTGATTTACAGATGTTTCCTTCTTTGACCAGCAGTCAACTTCTTTCGACGATCTTTTCAGTCCAAGCTTAAAATTAAACAGATGTGGCTTCAGTTGAAAGAGTTTCCAAAGGGAATGAAAATGTGTTTTCAGACAACTGAAATCGTTAAAGAATCAGATAAGGATTTGCACAAGAAGTTGTCTGAAAGAGTGTCTGAAAGAGGAACCTGGAGTGACGGCTCCTTCTGAGTACTTGGTCTAAAATTCTCTTAGCCTAAATTGATTGTCCTCACTGGAGCCCAGCCTGCTGCATTATGGATCTAACTCTATTCATTATGCATAAAAACACAGAGGCTTTTCATCCGGCTCATAATCCTGCAGGCTGACAGTTGGCTGCTCCCTCAGGTGTTTGAAGGCAAAACGAGGAAGAAAAAAAAAGATGCTGCCAACTAACAGAGCTGGAAAACACTTTGGACTCAATCTGTTGCAAGATTAATGAGTTAAAGTCCTTCAAAGAATTTTGATATAGAAAAAGTCATTTTGATTAAAATATCTACACCATTTTCACCAAAATGAAACCAAATGAAGAGGAGTCCAAATGATTGTTTCAAATCGATGTGGTTAGCTCAACCGTCTGCCTGAACAAACAAAAATATAAATATTGACTGAAATAAACAGATTTCAAATAAAATAAAATGAGCTAAGTTTTTGTCAAACTCTAACTTATTGTCAACTGTTTTAATTTTTGTGACAAGGTGGAGTCAGCTGTGACTTCCTGTGTACCTATAATTAAACAACTCATCACATCAATCCCTCATCAATGTAAGAGCTGTGACGCGTAATATATCGGCTCTATCGGCTCACTCTCCTTTAGCAAACAGCCGAAAGATTCAATCCCAAAAAAAATCCAAACCACAAATCTGATCTTCTTCTTGTCCTGATTTTCAAAAATCTAAGAGTCTGATCTCGGAGTGGCTGTTGAATGCAGCCTCCTGCTGCGATGGTGTTGGTGGAGGAGAATCCCTGGACTGCAAATAAAGCTGTGTGACGGAGGAGGCGCATCACCAGCACCAGCAGCTGCTCTCACATCCAAAACATTTACCAAAAAAAGAAAAGAAAACACGAAGGCTGGGGCGAGCGAGCACACCCACACATGCAGACAGAGAGAGAGGAACCCAAAAACTGACGTCAGCTTCCTCCTGAGACACCACAACCAGCCCTGGCTGAAGATGGAGGGATGATGGAGGAATGATGCAGGGATGCACAGAGAAATATGGGATGGGGTTGAAGGAGAAATAAGGGGAAGAGCTGATAGGGGGAGAGAAAAAAAAGGAGAGTTTCTCCTGTTGCACTCTGGGAAAAATGACCAAAAAAAGACAGTAGTCCTCCTTCCTCCTCTTCAGATGTTAGTATCTCCTCAAACTTCTCTTCTCCTTTGCTTGTTGCCGTTCCTCCGTCAGGTGAGCTCACTCCGCCTCCTCCTCTTTTTTTTTTCTTCTTTTTCTTCTTCCTCCTCCTCTCTGCTCAGACTCTGAACTGTTGAGGAGTGTTGCTCGCTCTCCCTTCTCACTCTCCTGATTCTCTCCCTCTCTTTTTTCCCTCGCTCACTCAATGCGCATTTTCTCTCAGCAGCAGCCAATGGGTGTGCAGGTACGGGAGCTTGAGCCCGCCTCCCTGCTCTGCTAGGAACTGTCAATCATGAAAGACTCAGAGAGCTGAATATAAATGCGGCTGAGAGACGATAAGCAGAACAAAGACCGAAAAAGCTCAAAACATAACAGATACTGATGATGACTCATTGACCATATCTCTACGGATACAAACACACATGTACATATGTGAGATTTATATACACATAAATGTATATTTTTGTATGTATGTTTATACACCCACACACAGATATTTATCTTTATTTACACACGCGCACACAAACACACACACCTCCACACACACATTAATTTGTTATAAACAGACTAAATGATCGTCATATTTAACATTATGTGTAAAATTAGATTCTTCTGTGACATCTATGATTTAATATTTCTCATACTAAGGCCACTTTATAGATCATTTTCTTATTCAAGATAAAGTGTCAACTGTTATATAATAGGGGTCCTAACTCAAATTGGATGTTGTAGCAGCTATACTGTAGACCACTTTAAATACATATATCCAGTATCACCGTTTTTGTGCCATGTTTTTACTGATACATTTTTTTTTTCTTATCTCATAAAGCAGAATGCCCTACTATGTAATCCAACTTCAGGACACATCAAGTTATTTTGTATCTTATACAATATAAATATTATGCCTAGCATTAAATAAATGCAATGATTGTGTCGTCCAGCAGGATTAAAAAATATAATTTTCAGAGATGAAAAAACACTGACATCCTCCTCCCTCTCTGATGATGATAACGGAGGTGAAGAGGTGACACTGATTCACTTTAAGTGTTTGTTATCGTCACACAATTGACATTAAGCCTAGTTTATTGTTTCTTCTCAGTCACGGATTAGGATCAGTATTGACTGGCATGCTAGCAGCTAGATACCTGATACTGCATTATAAGCTGTATCGGAGGCCACTACAAATACTGGTGTTGGTGTCAAAAAAGCTCGACCAAGAATCTGTTCAACCTTAAGCCTGGCTCACACTGCAGGATAATCAGGCTGATTTGATCTCCAATTCCTCCTTCCAGACAATCGCAGGGTCGCTCCCGACTCAAGGCTGCTCGGATCCGATTATCTGCCCAGATTATCTTGTAGTTTAGACTAATGCCTATTTCATTGACTAGCTGACAATCAATGAAATTACATTTTACCGTCTTTTTATTGTATGTATGTATGTGTGTAAGTGTGTGTGTATGCAAACATGTATGTCTGTATGTTTAATGTTGTTCTGAAATTGTGTAATTCTATTTGCTTAGTTGTTTTGTTTGTCTATTAAGAGGTGAGGTCCCTTGTATAAGCCTGTTGGCTTCTTGACCCCTCCTGACACACCTTTTATATTTTTTGTTAATCCTAGTTGATGTATTCTTCTAAGATAATTGACTGAACATTATCATTAACAAACTAAAAACGTGTTTTTCATTCAATATTCTGAATAAACACAAGAAATATCAACACATTCAAATTCAAAATATTGAGACACGGTAGTTTTTGAATTGTAAACGCAAATGTGATCAATCTCAAATAGAAATACAATACCAACATTAACATTTCTGCTTATCGTGTTCTGTTAGTATGGTTCTATCTGGTGATGGTTTAAGATCAGTTTAAACCAGCCTATGCAAACAGAGGTCACAGCCAATCGTTGTCTTGCAACGTGATGACGTCATCAACAATCATAGAATGTATGAAGGCTGAATTTTATTAAAGATCATTTTAAAACAGGATTATGCAAGCAACCATATCATGTGGCCACATGTGTGAGGACTGTTTTCATTGGGTTAAACAAATCGTCACATCAAACACAATCATACTCCAAATGGTCTCAAGTGTTTGTGCGATTTATCCCTTAACAGTGTAGAAGCAGGGATCAGCTCCCACTCTGAGAGAATAACATGTCCCACTTTGTAAACAGGACCATTTAGACACAGTCTTCAAAGTGAAACATCAGTTTCTGCTGAGACGGCTTCTTTTCATCTAGGAATCTCACAGAGTCGGTCACATGAAAATCATTCTGTTTTTGTCAAAACAATTATTTAAAGTCATCATCAGCAGCAATCCTTCCCAAAATATCTTCCACTTCTTTTGTGGCACAGTGCTGTGCATCTCTTCATCTTCGAATTTTGAGATTCACATCCAGTTTGCACACATTACTGCAGCTTGAACACCCGTCTGTGTGTGCTATTTCAGTCGACTTGACGTGACGAATCAGAGAAGGCTCTTGTTTGTTTTGTAATGAAAAGTATTTGTGTGATATTTTTCCATTAGGATTGTGGGTCTTTGTTTTGTTGGTTTGTCAGGAAATCTTAAAACCTTTCTGAGGGAGGTAGCATATCAGATGGGCAGAGCAGTCCTTGAGGAGTACTGCAGAGGTGATTTATTATTGTTAACGCTTGTTTAGAGAAAAAGAAAGTACTTGAAACTGAAGTCAGCTAAACAAAAGAAAAGGCTTGACAATGTGAAGTGACTTTGTACTCGCCTCTCCCACTAACCAGGTTTCCATCCACATGAGGCAGCAAAAAAAAATCTGAATTTGTGCACAGACCATCCACTACTGTGACTTTAAGAATTTGTTTCATGAAGCTACACAAAAGGTGAGGATTAATCTCATGTCTGTGCCATAAAACCAGAAGAAACCTTTAAATAAAGTCTTCAATTGAGCTCAGTGAACGCTATAGACTGCATAAAAGAGTTGCCTGTTTGAAGCCTGGAGTTATAGATTATGTCTGTCACGATTTTGTTTTTCCTAACCCTGAAGTGACCATCTTTTGATGAGAAGGTGGAGGGGAGATAGGAGTTAGTAAATGCCTGTCAGTAATCTGTGGACAATAAAACAACTTGGGTAAACATGTTTCATTCTTCTTGCAAGTGACATTTATCTTCTAAAATCTCTGCCTGGGCTTCATTTGTCAGCTCATCAGTTGAAGCAAAACAATGGATAACAATGTGTTGAACACAGTGGAGGTATGTCATTGTTTCATGTCTGAATGTGAGGTAGGAGACAGTTTCCTCAGCTTCACACAGATCTGGAGTCTTATGTATTTATTCAAAATTCAAAAATGTAATCTGAAAAATCAGGCATGAAATCATCACCTTCACCTGAAGTTGTATTCATCACTGAGGTAAACAAAGAGCCTTGCTAAGCAGTGTTTTTTAAGGTGGATCAAGGCACCAACGGAGTAGAAGTCAGTGACAAGGAATTCTGACAGAGAAATGTACTGTAGGTGAGGTGAAGGTTATAATGTACATGTTAGAATAATCAGCCAAAGGAAAGGGGGGTTTAAACAGGAGGGAAATGATGAGACAGTGCTGATGAAATATTGAGTTGACTTTGAGTTAAATGGAAACTAACCATGAGGAGCTCTTAACTGGTTAAGAAATAGAATAAAATGAATAATGATACCTCAAGTCAAAAAGCAAACAAGACCATCAGCAAGAGAACAGTATACGGTTTTATTATTGCCTGTCACCGCTGCCATCAGTGAAATTAAATATGTGGGAGGCATCAATATACAATTCAGAACTTCCCAGTCTGCATCATCTATTTTCCCTTCAACCTCAATTCTGCATCACGTCAGAGTTGACCTACAGTTACTCATATTCTATTTTCACTTTGGTTTTAATAGATCATGGCTTTAGTATCAGAAGTGGCATAAACCTTTTAAAGACTGTTTTGTGCATTGAAACAGTAAAACATGAGACCCCCTGACTTTTACAGTTTTTATCATTAACTCACAGGCTTTATTTATGTAAATCTTCATTTAGTTAACCTGTTTCTGGTATTATTATTCTCACAACAACATCTCACCTCAGACAAATGAAACTGATGTTTTGAGTCTTTTTTTGTTGTTGCATATTTTCAGTTATTCCACTAAGGTGTTAATGCAGCAGTCTAAAATATGCATAAAGACAGGTGGATGGAAACCCAGCTACTGAGTATAATTCATGCTTTTCACTCAGAAACATTTTGCATACACTGCGTCTCTTCCTCTAGTGAGAGCTGCTGCCCACACACTTACTGCTTCGGCATCAAACTAGTGACAAGCTGAAGGCAAGACAACACACACATGAACACACACACACACACACACACTTTAACAGAGAGGGATGATGATGATGGAGGTGAAGAGGTGACATGGATTCATGTTGATCGCTCAGAGGCTGAGTTGGAAAAACTGAGATGGAAACAAACGAGTGGGAGAAAAAGAGACTGAGACTCACAACTCTCACACTCGCACACACACGCACACTATAAAACACGTATGTACATGAACACACACACTTGTTCAGCCCGGCAATCATAAAGAGATGAAATGAATTCCTATTTCTTTTTTTTGTTTGTTGATAATAACAAGCCAAGGATCCCTGTGTGTGAAGTGTGTGTGTGTGTGAAGTGTGTGTGTGTGTGTGTGGTAAATTTCAAACAGCAACTCTGACACCTGGTTGTCAGAGTTGGACAGTCAGAGGACCATGACCAAATAAGTCCGACTAAGCAGTTGTCAAACTGAGAGCACTAAGGTGTATAATTCTGTCTTACCTTCAGCAGATCTTTGGGGAAGTCTTTTCCATCGTTGAGACCTTCCAGGTTGGTAATGAACTGACTGCATGACATCCTCTTCCCAATGTTCTACACACACACACACAGACACAGACACACACACACACACACACACACATACACACACACACACACACACACAGACACACAGACACACACACAGACACACACACACACAGACACAAAAACCCCCACAGATAAACAAAATATATCTCCCCATTTGCATTTTAAGATTGTATTTTAATGAAGTTGGGGTGTACAATGGTCTGACTATTAGTTCCTCACTACGCTTAAACCTACATTTTCCAATGATTTATTTGTAAGGAGTCTATTCTTTATAAATGTGTTGGCAAGTATCTAGATGAGAGATGTGGCAGTTTGTTACACCTCTGTGGCTGTGACAAGACACAGAAAAGAAGTGATATTCTGCCATGGCGCTACTCATGCGAGTATAAAGACGGGATCATTTGTGTTTATTTGCATTGATTATTAATCACAACCTGCAAATAGGTCACTCATACCAATTCACAGACTGATGTACATTTTCCATCAGTATAATAACAATCTTATTCATACACATTAACACTCTGCAGATGAAGCAGCGTGAGCAACTTGATGTTAAGCATCTTGCCCAAGAAAATTCAGACATATGGCTGCAGGAGCTGGGGATCTAACCCCCAACCTTCTGGTTGAGAGACGCGACTCTACCTACTGAGCGACAGCCTCCGCTGTGCAGCATGAAGAAATCTTTGCTTTTTAAAGCTCTTCAAGATGTGATAGGTAGGCTTGAGTTCATTTCGAGATAATCTGATTTCATCTCATGAGGTCTGGTCCGCTTTATGCTACAATGTATCACAAGTTGGGGCTTTAATTCAATTGTTTTCTAATCCTACTGTAAGAAGACACAAATTTGCAGTGTTGCAGGGAAATATCCTGTGTCTGATCTTAAAGTACATCCATAGAAGAAACACAGAGTTGAGAGTTTAAGATATTTAAAACATGTATCCGTATCCACATATCTTCAAATTGGAGATGGATTAAATCTGTGATGTATTAAAGGATGAAAAGTTCTCTATATGGGAATCTTCTTCTGCTAAATAAACAATTTATTAGAAGATTACTACACAAAGTAAACAATATTTTTCTATTTACTTTGGTTTGGTATTTGCTAAAGGAGGCTGAACAGTCAGCTGACCTTCATGTTATTTAATTAAGAACTTATAAACATGATTGTGTCTTAGCTGTGACAGTGTCACGCCTGCTCTATCACTCACACACATAGGAAGTGTGCGGGACTGTTGCTCCGTGTTATAGGACAGCTTGTCGCCTTGGCAACAGTCACCTCTTCCTTAAGCAAGTTGACCAGAGTGGCATGACTTCAGTGACAGCCTGTGCAGAGTTCACACTGTGATGTTACTCAGATTAATTATCACGAGATCACTCAGTGTGAATATCAACACTGAGCTAATCTCCATGGTAACGGGGCACACTTTAACTGCTCAGGAGGACAGTGACGAGTGGTTGAGAGCTCAGGAAGAAAACTCCTGTACGCAATCTAAATAGAACTTTTCGTTGAATTGATGATCATGCTTTTCCGCTGATCTGATAATTAGGTAACAAAAATAACACGAAACATAACAATCTGGAGTTATTTTACTTGCGATCTTCTCGATGCTCTGTTTTGATTTACACAAAAAGCTGATTATTAAATAACAAAAAATTCAATAAATTGTGACTTACATTTCCATGGAGGTCTGTGTTCAGCAGCATGACAGCACATGTCAAAGTATGGACGCTGTCTGAGAGACACACAGGTGAGAGACAGACAGGTTAGAGACAAAAATGTACGAGACAGGTTAGAGACAGACAGATTAGAGACAAACATGTAAGAGATAAACATATAAGAGACAAACATGTAAGAGACAGACATGTAAGAGACAGACAGATTAGAGACAGACATGTAAGAGACAGACAGATTAGAGACAAACATGTAAGAGACAGACATGTAAGAGACAGACATGTAAGAGACAGACAGATTAGAGACAGACAGATTAGAGACAGACATGTAAGAGACAGACATGTAAGAGACAGACAGATTAGAGACAGACAGATTAGAGACAAACATGTAAGAGACAGACATGTAAGAGACAGACATGTAAGAGACAGACAGATTAGAGACAGACAGATTAGAGACAGACATGTAAGAGACAGACAGATTAGAGACAGACAGATTAGAGACAGACAGGTTAGAGACAGGCAGGTTAGAGACAGACAGGTTAGAGACAGACATGTAAGAGACAGACAGGTTAGAGACAGACAGATTAGAGACAGACAGATTAGAGACAGACAGATTAGAGACAGACAGGTTAGAGACAGACAGATTAGAGACAGACAGGTTAGAGACAGACAGATTAGAGACAGACAGATTAGAGACAGACACAGGGACTGGCAGACAGGCAGGGAGATAAATGTTATGATGAGTGGTATGAGGAGACAGACATGTAAGAGACAGACAGGTACCTTCAGTGGTCACACTCTCTGGGTTACACTGCCTATATCTCCTGGAGAACTGAGCGAGGACTCTCTCTCTCTCCTGAGTTTCTCCCATCAGAGCAAACTTTCTCAGAAATGTCCTGAAAACACAAAAACGTGTTTATCAACCTGCTCACTGGTCATCACCACACAGTCAAGGAGCTCTGGGAGTTGTTGTGATTTATCTGATGCAGGCCTCTTGAACTCGTCATGATGATTCCACCAGGAAAACATGTGGGTTAGTTAGTAATCTATTAAAATAGAAAGTAGAGCAGAACTGACCTGAGTGCTTGATCGATGGTCAGACCCTTGAAGTTAAAGTTACTGAGATATTCCTCTGCCACCATCTGACTGAACTCATTACTGCAGACGGACAAAAAGACAGAACAGTGATTATAGCAACTCTCTATTAGGACATGTTGTGTTTGAAACAAGGACAAACAAACACACTGACTTCTTGCTGAGATGTCGAGCCACGTCAGACTTCCTGAAGCCCTCAAGGTTGTAGAGCCGCTTGGCAAGACGTTTTGCTGCCTGTAGGTCAGGCTTTGTGCCGTTTGCCAGTGCATCGTCGCTACCACCGAGCGCCAGGCGCTCTGCCACATCTGCCTGCGGGTACAGCAGCTCGGGCAGGTTGTTCACTGGGCGCTCCCTGAAAAAAAGACAATCACATATACATATTTCATTCACACATTATTTCTGGACTTTCAGGTCCCCTTTTTGTTCTGTGGAGGAACAAAAGCAACAGTATTTCTGGTTCCTGTACTGAGAGTTCTTCTGTTAAAGTAGACCGTGCCAGGAAAAAATAACAGTGATTACACTAATTTAATGTTCAAATGTTATTTTATTTTTCACATTCAAGTTCTGTCATTACTTACAAATGCCAACAGCCACAACAGCCAAGCCATTCCATTCCTGTTTGGTAACAGGGCTGAGCCCTCTCTCTGTGTCAGATCCCAGAGTATCTGTAGTTTACGCTTGAAAGTGCAACCTGGAGTTTAGATTCACAGCTGTGTTCCTGTTTGAACTCTCAGACATCCCCCGTCCCACCTCAGATCAAACATGTGTTTGGTCACTGTGATCATGTTTAAACTTCACTGTGCAGAATAATGTAAATGATAAAGAAGAAAATGACAAATGTTAGGACAGAACAGCTAGTTTGGGATGCATCATCGTAACACACAGCGAAAACTTGAGACAAAAGACTGAAAATGGAATAGTTATAAAAGTGAGAAGCATCTTGTGTCCGTCAGGTTAAGTCTTAGATTCTGGATTGCTGAATGAATAATATGTTGTTGTAAATTTCAGAATATTTAAAGAAATAATTTTTTATGAAGAGCAGCATTTTTTCAAATGTTTTAATAACTTGTAGGGGGATGTTTAAGTAAACTGGACCTTTCCTGCTGCTTCAAATTCACAGCTTCTTCCCTAACTGAGATTATTTTTAAATTCAGACACACAAACCAACACCAATTACGCTCTTTTTTGGCTTACTTACAGCTTATCTGACACTTTGTCATGTTGACTCGAGAAATTAACATCAACTGCTGGCAAAACATAAGAAGCCTTTACCTGAATATTTACTTAGTTAAGCTTCCAACATGGTTAATAGCATCATGGTTAAGCTTTTTGAAGCCCTTTGTATCAGAACTCAGTCATAAAGTCATTCTGTTAATATTAGCATGAAAGTTTGAACCAGACAAAAATCTGAGGGATCTACAGCATCACCAGAAAATTAACATCTCAGGTCTAAGGTCACAACACTGTAAATGACAAACTGTGTGTTTGTATTATTTGTTATTATATGCTTTGGCAATGTATGTTCACATTCATGCCAATAAAGCTATTGGAATATGAATTGAGAGAGAGAGAAAGTGTCGATTCACGATTATCCAGATTACTTTGCATACATTTCATATTACTAATGTATAAAATCATATGGTCTTCAGCAAATTAAAAGTGTTTCATTGCTACCTTTTTAAAAACAGAAATAACAAAGTAATCAAATAATGTAGTACCAAATGATAATGGCAAATAAGAAAGTCCATCTCTCCCTTTGAATTGGAAGAATTTTGGAAATTTGGCATTTTCACTTAAACTGTTCCACAATTAATCTTAATGAAAATAACATAAGACAAAGTCTGTGTATCTTTGATATTCAATACAAGCGACATCTTAGCTATGCATTCCCCTATTTTAAAAAACGCAGCCAAAGCCTTACTTATTCTTCGACCTGGTATGTTAAGCTGTGCTAATGCTGAGCGTTTACTGCACACAGGTGGGAGGGAGAAACACTGAAGTGTCTGATAGACGACATGCAGTCACTGCTGTTTGATTACGTCAAACTGAAGCCAACCTCACACCGCTACGTCGTTTATTGTCAGTGAATTCCTGACCAACTCGATGTTTCACTAACGCACTGTCCCTCAGTTTGTATGTAACAACACATCACACGTGTAGTGCTAGGCGGGGATCTCACAGATGCTGCATAACGTTTGTTGCAGACACCGTAGCCGAAACTTTTTTTTCCGGCAGGTTATTACGGACGTCGTATGGAATAACTCCATGGTCATTCCTGTACACCCAAAATGCCCCCCATACTGCCGACTTCACTCGTTTCTTCGGTGGGTACAAAGCTTTGCAGCAGTGTCCCTCTACCGCCATACAGACTGCAAATATGGAGCCAATGTAGCGTAGCCTCATACAGACGGCACATTTAGCTGGTGCACGACAGATGGTGTCACTCCGTTTTCGTTCCGTGCAGGTTGCACCAAAACTAAAGTTCCTCCTCCTTTATGCGAGTGAGAGTAGAAAAACGCTTTGTAACTATAGACTGTAAATGGTGTTACCATAGACTGTAAATAGTGTTACCATAGACTATAAATGGTGTAACCATAGACTGTAAATGGTGTTACCATAGACTGTAAATAGTGTTACCATAGACTATAAATGGTGTAACTATAGACCGTAAATGGTGTTACCATAGACTGTAAATAGTGTAACTATAGACTGGTGTAACTATAGGCTGTAAATAGTGTTACCATAGACTGTAAATGTTGTAACTATAGACTGTAAATGGTGTAACCATAGACTGTAAATGGTGTAACCATAGACTGTAAATAGTGTTACCATAGACTGTAAATGGTGTAACCAGAGACTGTAAATGGTGTTACCATAGACTGTAAATAGTGTTACCATAGACTATAAATGGTGTTACCATAGACTGTAAATAGTGTTACCATAGACTGTAAATGGTGTTACCATAGACTGTAAATGGTGTTACCATAGACTGTAAATGGTGTAACTATAGACTGTAAATAGTGTTACCATAGACTGTAAATGGTGTAACTATAGACTGTAAATAGTGTTACCATAGACTGTAAATGGTGTAACTATAGACTGGTGTAACTATAGACTGTAAATGGTGTTACCATAGACTGTAAATGTTGTAACTATAGACTGTAAATAGTGTTACCATAGACTGTAAATGGTGTATCTATAGACTGTAAATAGTGTTACCATAGACTGTAAATGGTGTAACTATAGACTGTAAATGGTGTAACCATAGACTGTAAATGGTGTAACTATAGACTGTAAATGGTGTTACCATAGACTGTAAATGGTGTAACCATAGACTGTGGGTGTAACGGAGCCTCTAGGATTAATTAACCGTGACTTTTTTAATCGCAGTAACTAATAGATTGTTAAATGTTTCCATTGTAACATTGCAAACAGGAAGTGCTGGCAGCTAAATGTTAAAGGTTTTGATGATGATGTAGACTTAGCAATTACATTTCTTATACAAATCATCAAGAAGCTAAAATATTAAGGGATACAGGTACAACAATGGAACAAATAGAACAAGTTCTGTTTTAGCCTTGCTAGCAAGCCACTAACTGAATTATCTCAAGAATAACATGTTTTTTCAGACATTCATGTTTCCTACAAACATTTGTAGCGAAGGGCAGGTCTCGAACCCAGGTCTCCAGAGCACTAGACGTGCCACTTTACCGCCATGCCAAGCTTGTTGGCATGGCGTAGGATATTGTAGGATATTGTTATATTGTTGTGTTCTTTTTAAAAACATGAGATTTAAACATAAATTAATGTATTTTAAATTATTATTTATTTGATTTAGCATTTATTTATTTTATTATTGATTGTATTTTCAAATATGAGCTTTTGATATTGCAGGTCCACTGCATGTTCTTTTGTTTTAAAAAAGAAAAGAGAGAAAAATTGTAACGCCTGGATTTATAGCGTTTTGTAAAAAATATAATAAACTTTGTTTTTTTAAATCAACAACATTGTTTTAACAGGATAAAATAAATCTTTGTAAATTTGTTGGTCTGGGTAGATAAATGTCATTTTTCTTAAAACAATTAAAATGGATTTATAGCTTTTTGGAAAAGAGCTCTTCATTTGTAATGACTTTTACATCCCACATCCACTATGTGATGAGTTTGTCTGACAAACACTCTACAGCTTTAAAAAAAGCGCTGAAATTATTATACACTCAATTTAAATGTTCAACAAGAAGCCAATGAGTTTTCTTCATTGCTATTTCCTTAATATAATCTTCTTATCTGAGAAAACCTCATCTAATACAAATATCTGCCTAGTTTATAAGATTATACTCGCTTTAGCTCCTTCGCTCTGTCTGCTTTCATTAGCTTTTAATCCACCAGACAGGGCATTGAGAGGTTATAGACTGTGAACAAATGAAGTGCATAGTCACGTTGACATACACTGGCAATATTACACCTTCCACCACAGTTATACATCAAATTAATTTGAAACAAGATACCATTATCTTTTTCATGCTCAGTTTTAAAGGAAGAATGTGACACATTTTACACATAAATACAGCAGAAATCAAGTATATTCTCTGTAAATATCTCTCTGAGTCATGCCTGTCTACAATGAGTGAGAAACGAGAGTCCTGCCGGCTGATTTATTGTCGAAGACGTGTTTACATTATATATACAGTACATGGACGGGGCGGCCTTGCGTATAAAGCTGATTTAGTGAAGGACTAGAGAAAAGAAGTGTAACAGAGCCTATTCACTGCCTATTTGGATGTCATGTATGTGTGTTTAGATCATGGTCATTCTGTGTCAATTTATGTGCAATATGAAGCTATGAGTTAACCTCAAGTGTGTTAACATTAGCCTGTGAACATAAGAATTCAGGAAACAGGCAAGTGCAGCTCAGGCCAAGGAATCTTGTCCGCCGCTTGCTCTTATTGGTGCTTAATTATGGTGTATTCTAATTGACAACCCCTTTAGTGCGAATGTGAGTGGAGAGGGGTTGGAGGTGTGCTGTTGGAGGAGAGCGGATGCTTTAGAATAGCGGAGCTGTCGCCAAACAGCAGTTTGTTTTGGTTTCATGCTGGAGCTCAAGGGTGACATCTACTGGATCAGATGTCACCCTGATCCAGTAGATGCACATTCTTCAGTAGCACATTCTTCCTTTAAGGGTCACATATTTGTGGAATAAACTTAACCAGAGTGGATTTTTAGCTATAAACTTCACAGACATGTTTTGGGGACCTCTAAGACTTATTAGAACTTGTTGAAAAGGAGTATAATATTTGACCTTTAAAGAAAAACTCAAGGTAATAGGTCGGCTTGGAAGCAGTAGCATTATGGG